TTTGTTTATCTGGATTTTCACTGATCTCAGAAATTGCTGTTACTTGGTTATTCATTTCTATTTCTCTGTTTGAGTCTTAAGAATGAAATATTTTTGGTTTGTGAGCCTAGCCTTTAACGGTTGAGCCATTTCTCCAGCTCTTGATCTGTTTGGGAGGCATCCAGGCAGTGGGACCAGGTCCTGTGCTCATTGCATGAGTTGGCTGTTTGAAACCTGGGGCTTATGCAGGGATGCTAGGCTCGGCTTGGGAGGAGGGGACTGGGCCTGCCTGGACTGAGTCTACCAGGTTGATCTCAGTCCTCGGGGAAGGCTTTGCCCTGGAGGAGGTTGGAATGGGGGGTGGGCTGGGGGGAAGGGGAGGGCAGGAAGGGAGAGAACAAGGGAATCTGTGGCTGATATGTAGAACTGATTTGTATTGTAAAATAAAATAAAAAAAAGAAAAAAGAAAAAAAAAGAATGAAATAAAATGCATACTGACCAATTATACAACCTAGTATATATCTTATGTATCAGTTCCCCAGTGGCCATACACACATTATCTTATTCAACTCTCACATGAATGTCACTGTCACTAAGGTACTTAAAAAACAAGAGACTGGGATAAAGTTATAATTTACTCAGTGGTGAGAAATCAACATAGAGAGCTCTTTCTGCTAACTGCTATATAGCTGATGTCACAAGGAAGGATATAGACTCAAGGATGTTACATAAGGAAGGATACAAACTCAACAGTGACTTGTCCAAAACAGGGCAAAAGAAACATGAATTTCAACTGAGTCTAACTTCCAATAATAGCTTTTTTTTTTCTATTTTTATTATTAAAACAGACTCAGCAAAAGAACATCTATAGGCCACCAGAAGTGAGTAAGAATGGGAAGAAGGTAGGTGAAAGTCTGTTTCGAGTACCTCCATACAACTGTACGATGCCTATTAACTTGTCACATGGGCCTAGAAATCAGTTTGTATCCATGGTACCTTTCTTTTTATAGCGAAAACATCCCAGAAGCAAGACTATTTTATCCTGTTGCATAAGGCTTATATTTTCCAGAACGAAAGAGGTCAGTGATATTTGGAGGGCCACAACTACTGTTCATTAGATTTACTTGAATGGTTCTGGGGAGTATTTTTTATTGGCTTCACTTAGAGACATCCTTGAAGAGTTTGTGATGTCATCATGGTGCACAGTACCATCCCCAGTTAGGGGCTGCTGCAAGAAACACAACAGAGCTAATAAGAACTGTGTGACAATTCAGTACAACAAGGACAACACATTTGCAAGGAAAACTGTGGCTGTTATTGATAAATTTCGGCCTGTGATTCAGCAATCTGCTGCACATTTACCGAGGCAACTTGAAGTCCAGGCTAACTGTTCAGTAGCTGAAGATGCAAAGTGGAACACAACACACGCAGAGCTCTACAGCAAATGCCAAGGAGTGGTTTGTGACCGTTCACTTGTATCATGCCTAATGGTGCCGATCTCCGACTAGTAGGCTCTACAACAATTGGGTTCAACAACTGAGATAAATGCCTTCATGTTTTTAACTCTTGAGACAGGGAGCTTGACAGAATGAAGAGAAGTGGACTAATATTAGTAGAAACAGAAAAATAGCAGAGTTTTATAGGAGATAAGAGATAGAGATGGAATTCAAGGAAATATGGAAATAAAATCCAATGTGAAATATGGATCGATTGACATGCTAACTTTTACTATGCTCCAGTAAGTGCCGGAAAGAAGTTTTTTTTTGAACTTTTGTAATTGTGTGCCAATTTGTATATATCAATAGATGCAACAACGTTTTATGAATGCTTAGAGTTTTTCAAATCTCTCAAGCTTTCTCATGAGCTTCTCACTGCAACTGGAATAAAGGAATAGTGTAAACAATCACTTTGGAAAAAAAAAAACAACCCAATGGACTGATTCTTTGAAGAGATATTGAGTAAACATGACAAATCTTATTGAGGTAAAAGTCATTAAACAGTACAAGTGAGTAATATGCGAGGCAACATGTTTAAATGGTAGACACATTAAACATTATGAGGTTTAGAGTTTAAGGCAGATACCCTAACAGGGATAGAGTCAAGGCCAGAGCTTGATAGGGGGTGAGTTTGTGGAAGAGAATGGGCAAAAGAGAAGGTTCTTTTAGGCTCAGCAAGGATGAATGGGGTCTTGGCAAACCAAAGATGTCCGTGATCTTTGGAGAGCAGGACAGTAGAGAGAAGAGGGCCCAAGGTGGAATGAGGTGAGGTTTACTTGGTGATGATATTAAAGCTCATGTAGGTGCTGTGCATGAGTTCCTCTAGGGACCAAGGAAACTACCAATTATACAAAGAGTGCTTAACGAATCAAAGAAGGTCTCTTCTCACTCAATTTCCTTTAATGCTTTCTCTACCAAGAGGCAACTGAGTCTCACTAGTTCATGATTCATGTTTAAGAGAAATGTTATTCTGAAATTTGTATTCTAGTTCAGAAGTTTCTCAGTGGGTTAAAACTTTAGGGTAGTTTCAAATTTCTTCCAAATTTTTTCCTCTTTATTATAGTTTGTATAAATATTAATTCATCCTAGAAATGACTTATGGGAAGAGGGCCTCCCCCCTCCCCTTTCACCATAGAGCACAGCATTCCAGGAAAACCTCATTTCTGCTGATGAATGGCTATTGGCATACGGAGATCTGGCATGAGACTGGGAAGAAGGGGTGTAGCTGACATGAGAAAAGCTTGAGAAGGAAACCATAATCCCCCCTCAAATTCGCTGCTTATTAGAGGAGCTAAAATGATTAAGCAGCTGGAGGTTTTGATGTATGAGGAAAGATTAAGAGAATTACATGTGTGGAGGCTGGCTGACGAGCTAAGGAGTATTGCATGCATGAGTATGCGGTGGGCACGAGGGGGGCTGATAATCATTTGCAGATAATTGAAGGTAAAAGTCCCAAAGAAAGCGAGGGATTGTGAAGGTGGTCTTTAGAGGATTATCTAAAGGTAATGGATGATCTGAAGAAAAGGGGAAAATGTTTCATCAGGAAGACTTTCATAATGGGTAAGATTTAAGGGTAAAAACATAATAATCTTGTAACAGAAGTGGTGAAATTCCCATCTCTTGACTCACTTAGGGGAAGTCTGTAAAGTTTTGGGAGTGTATAAGGCTGCTTTGGTGGGGGAACAGATTTGGTCATCAAGGACATCCCTTGTCCTGATGTTTTATGGCTTGATCTCCAAGATGAATCAATTGGTAAACAAGAATTTGGAAACTCCCCAGGAATCATGCCTATCTTATCTCACCGACGATTTTCAAGTAATAAAGACGTGTGTTCCCATCTCTTCCTCTCCTGATTTCCACACATTGTCCCTGACATTATCATTTCTTAAGGTACATTCTGGTCTGTGGATAGAGGAATCACATGACTAAAAGATAAGCAACATGTACTTCGGCAAATGGCAGGATCAAGGAACATTCCTTTTACTGAAATCTTTTTTCCAAAGATGACTGATGTGTCATGGGGGTGGGGGATGCTCAGTGTTCCTCAGTGCTTAAACCATGTTGCCTCGTCACATGAAATTGGTCAAGACTTGGAACAAGTCATTTTAATGCTCACAGAGTAAGTAAAGAAGTCCCATGACCATATAATTTCCTGTCCTTTGGGCTCACAGTTTCTAATGTTTTTCCCTGGAGAAGGAAAAAAAAATCTTCATATAAGATTTTTGTGCATGTTTCTTTCCCAGTGTTATTGATGCAAATAATTAGAATTAACCTGAAATCATCAATGATAGGTTAAGAAATTTTATTATCTCCTTCAGTAGCTAAAAAATTATGGCTTTTGAAACTATGTATTGACATGTAAAAACACACAATGATATTGGAAAGGACACGCACATACAACGGCATCCTAAAGTATTAGGTAAATTGAAACCCAGAAACAGATAGATATTTAGTTACCTCTCTGTCTTTGAGTATTCCTTTATATCTGTGCAAGTAATGTGAGCTCCTGGCCATATTTGAGCATTCTTTACCTTTGAGGTACAAATGGTTGCATTTGGATATGAATGTTTTTCATTAAGTAATTGACCACATACATAAAAACTTAGGCAGATACGCGTATGTTTCTGGATCATTTAGAAAATGAGTATAATTCCTGATGACCTCTACCTCCTCCCCCTTCTGACAGTGTCTCATTATGTAGCCCTGGTTGGCCTGGAACTTGCTATGTAGACCAGGTTACCTTGAATAAAGATTTGCCTGCCTCTTTTTTTTTGGAGTGCTGGATTAAGGGGGAGTTACCACATTTGGTCCATTAATTTTTTTCTCCCCCCAATTTTTGTAAATAGAAATTGAAAGGATGTTGAAGATGAATTTATGTTCACACTTTACAAGCTATGTCCAAGTACTTTAGTATATCAGAGTATTTTATGGTGAGAAGAGCTGTCACTGACATAGTATTAGACACTTTAAACAACACTAGAGAAACTTTAACAGAGCAGGGTAAATTTCGTACTCTTCAAGACAGGGATATTAGATTGCACTTGACAGTAAATCAATAGAGGGAATACTATGAACATAAACCCCTGTTGCCTTTACAGTTAAGTTTTAATTATGGTCCTTATTATTTTTCATTATCATAAACCATTAAGATTATGAAAAAGAATAATCATAGTGATAAGAAAAAATACAAAATGACAAGCAATTACATGTATGAAAGAAATTCATGAGTCAATCACTGATTAAAAAGGAAAACTTCCTTCTATAAGTATTTGTTGTGTTCATACGGTAGGCCTTTAGTCTCCTAGGGTCTGGAGCATCATTAAGGAATAAAAACAATAAAAATGTTTGTTTCTGGGGCATTTTTATTCCTGTAATTGTGAACTCTTCTACAATGTAGTATGCTTTTCTTATGTACACTCAGTAGGGGGAATGTCCTTGGCCAGCCCAGAATTCAGGCAGTCGGAAAGAGGAATCAGTTCCTTCACAATGTTTCTAGGCCCAAGGTGTTGCCATGGAGAAATATAAATAAACTCTGCCTCATCACTTGCCTTTGGTTGACCTAAAGAGCACTCTTTCTGTTGGGCATATTACTGAAGTGATTAAGGCTGATTTAACACCGTTCTGAAACAATGTAAGTAATTATCATCCTATTTTATTTGTGTACTTATTACTTGATTTTTCTCTCATTTCTTCATCAATTTAAGATTCCTCATCAATTGCTTAAAATGTGCGTGCGCACATGCATACCACATTCTTTTTATTAATCTGCCCTTCTACTTTTCATATGAAGGAGGGACAGACTTATGAGTTTAATACTTAATAAAAGTTAATAGGCTATTAACTTTTAATAAATGTTTTAATAAGTTAATACGCAATATAAGAAACTGGTTTAGACAGGATTGAGACCAAATAGTCTAGCTCCCAAGTATGGCTTAGTAAACACTGCACCTTCTCAAATACAGCTGGACTTTCCCCTACTTCTCTGACTCAAGGATGCTTATAAGGGAAGACTCTTCCTGTTTGGTACCACTGAAGGAATACATACATTCCAGAATGGAAGAGGCAGTTATTTGTAACTGACTGGTAACTAGTTTCCACTCTTGTAAGTTCTTCAGCTAACAAACACCCCATGTCTTTCTTCCTAGGTACCTACCTCCTCACTACTCTTTTTATTTCTTTTTTCCTTCAGGCCATAGACTTTAAAAGTTATTTAGTCTCCATAAAGCAGGTATTTGTTTCTTTTTCTTCTGATCCATACAACCCATAGGCTCTCCTATAGCTAGAAAAGTTCTCTGTGCTTTAAAAATTTAAAAGGCAAGTCTTTTCCACCCTGAACGTGGTCCTGATATCAATCGTTCATCAGTCCATATGTTTCTTCTCTTTGTTACACACTTTTGATTCTATAATTGAGGTTTTGATAATTCATTATCAATTATTAAATAATTGTATTCTGTTTTGCTCTTTTGCTTATGAAAATTAAACTCTGGCATTTAAACTTCTGATATTTAATTTGTCATAGTTCTTTTTTGTACTCACTTTGATTTTTTAAAGTTAGTGCATTAAGTTATTAACTATTTGTCTCATTTCTTGAGTCTTTTGGCACTCTTTTGAATTTTTTGATGAAGACAAGTATCTTAACTGTCTAATTATAGTCCTGGCCTTGCTCATTTCATAGAACCAGTTCTTGTGTTGTCCCAACGGGAGAATCATCTTGGCGCAGGGCTTAGCAATTCTTTTTAGTAGATAAAACTTATTTTTTTAAAAAACATTTTCCCTTATGAAGTTAAGCTGAATTGCTAGTTTTTAATTATATCCATACCATTAGAGTGCTACCCTTAATTTATTGACCCATTTATTAGGGAATCTAAGAGCACATGTTGGCCAACAGAATGATGTCTGCTTATTTTGAAAGTTTGTATCTTTTGCAGTATCTTAGAAAAAGTTTCTGGGGCTTGGAAAGATCACACAGTTCTGAAAAAAATGTCTGCATAATTTAGCAAGAATCTATTTGTACATTTCCAAAAAACAAAATTGAAACTGTTCAGCATTTTTATATTTTCAGAAATTATTCTTCCAAGAAAAGTGGCCTCCTCTTTGATGTAAATGTTGAAATTACAGCATCTGACAGATTGTTATAGACTATTTTTACATGGCTCTGGATATTGGGTTATTCAGGGTTCAGGAGAGCAACAGAGGAGAGTCACTGTGGATGGTTTGATAAAACATCTATTGCTTCTATCATTAAAGATTAGAAAATTTTCTGTATATTCTTTTGGGTTTTAAAGGATAATTCTTACAAACACATTGTAGATACATTTTTAGAAGGGTTGAAATAACAGAACAAGTTACAGGAAGGCATAATACAAAGAATGCAGAAAGATCTGATGGGACGGTTGAGGTCCAAATGTGGGACATTTGAGCACGTAGTTTCCTATATGGGAATCATGTATTTAGATGAAGAACACAGAGGGTTTAGGAACTAATAGGCTGAGACAAAATATTTTGTTGACTCTGCCTACCCAGTAATTGCAGCTTATGAGATGCCCAGTAGGGCTGGAAGCCCAGCTGCACTCCAGTGGTGGTTGGGTCACTGCCAACAACGGCTGGTGTTCAGGGTCTTCTTGCTGTGTTGTGGCAAGACTCTGGCAGCCTTTTGGCATTTTCATCACTTTGGCAGAGACAGCCTGGCTCTGAGTGTTCTCTGCTAGCCTCTGAGGCTGTGTGTCTCTGTGGCAGCACTCCACTGAGCCATGAAAATCATCACATTTGACCTTGTTAGTGTTGCAACAGTCTTGGAAGCAGGGAAGCTTCACTCAGGTGGGATCTGCTTCCCTAAGAAAAAGTCACAGAAGGCCTAGTGTTCCTGTTCTTTTCTAAAATAACCACCAGACTTTCTTGTTTTCATTGACTAAATGTGGGAATATAAAAACCCAAGAATAAAGCGCCACGAGAGTTGACTTGTAAATCACTAGAAGTAATTTGGTTTGTGTTTTTTAATTAACTCACAGCCAAAGAGAATTACAGAATGTTGGAATTGTATAGTTCGACATCTACATATCCACATGATCCTCTTTATTACATTTCCAGGCATCTTGTCATTCAAAGAAATGAAGCCTTTTATTAATGAGGACCTTAATTACTTCTTCATCCTCCTCCTCTTCTGTGGTACTGGGAACTAAAAACAGGACCTTATGTACATGATTTACCCCAGAGCTATATCCTCAATACGATTAACAAGCATATATATATCAATAATCTAGGCACAAATCATCCAGAAAGACACTATGAAAAGCCTATATCTTTGAATAATACATATAGAAGGAGGAGAAGAAACCCAGATAAAAGGCACAGAAAATATTTTCAACAAAATCAAAGAAGAAAATTTCCCTAATATAAAGAAAGAGGTGCTTATTAAGGTATAAGAGGCATACAGAATACCAGAGAGGATCAGAAAAGAAATTCTCCCATGACACATAATAATAAAAATACTAAATGTACAGAACAAAGAAAGATATTAAAAGCTGTAACTTCAATACCCATCTCTTGCCAATAGACAAGTCACCTAGGCAAAATCTAAACAGAGACATATTAGAATTAAATTATGTCATTAAATCAAAGAGACCTAAGAGACAGCTACATAACATTTCACCAAAACTTTAAGAAATGCACTTCCTTGTTAGCAGCCCATGGAACTTTCTCCAAAATTGACCACATATTAGACACAAAGCAATTCCTATCATGTATCATCATATCATATGTGTATATCCTATACAAAATAAAATATCATTCAATAACTCTAACCAGGCAAGTGGAAGACATATAATAAACACTATAAGACATTGAGGAAAGAAATTGAAGTAGACACCAAAAAAGGGGGAAGAATTCCCATGCTCATGATCAATAAGGTTAATATTGTGAAAATGACCATCCTATGAAAAGCAATGCACAGCCGGGCGGTGGTGGCGCACGCCTTTAATCCCAGCACTCGGGAGGCAGAGCCAGGTGGATCTCTGTGAGTTCGAGGCCAGCCTGGGCTACCAAGTGAGTTCCAGGAAAGGCGCAAAGCTACACAGAGAAACCCTGTCTCAAAAAACCAATTAAAAAAAAAAAAAAAAGCAATGCACAGTTCAAGGTAATCCCCATCAAAATTTCATCACAAATGTTCACATTAAATAAAAAATCTATCTTCAACTTCATATGAACACACACACACACACACACACACACACACACACACACCAAACAAACAAACAAACAAACAAGCAAACAAAACAAGAAAAATCTCCAAACCCAAAAAACAAACAAACAAACAAAAAAACCTCAGGCCAACTAAAGTAATCTGGAATAATAAAAGAACTGCTGGATGTGTCCTCATCCCTATTTCAAGTTGTATTACAGAGCTTTAGTAATAAAATAGACATACTGATGAATGGAATCAATTTGAAGACCCAGACATAAGTCCACACATCCACAGATACCTGATTTTTGACAATGAATTAAAAAATATGTACTGGAGCAAAGGAGAAAAGATAGCATCTTCAGCAAATGGTGCTGGTCAAACTGGATAGCTGCATGAAGAATATAACTAGATCCATATTTATCACCCTGCTCAAAATTCAACTCCAGTTGGACTAAGGACCCCGATAATAGAGCAGATACCTTGAGTGTGATAAAAAAAAAGTAAGAAATAGGCTTGAACTCATTGGCACAGGAAATAACTCTCTGAATAGGATACTGATGCCACAGGCATTAATGCCAACAACTAATGGTACCTTATGAAGCTAAAGGGTTTCTATACAGCATAGGACACTATCATTCAAGCAAAGTGGCAGTCTGCAGAATGGAAAAAAAATTTTTTTAACCAATTATACACCTGCTAGAATATTAGTATCTAGAATATGTATAAAGAGCTAAAATAACTCAACGTCCAGAAAACAACTAACCCAAATAAAAACTGGAGCATAGAACTAGACAGAAAGTTCTCTAAAAGTGAGACTCAAATGTCTGGGGCACACTTACAAAAAAAGGTTCAACATCTTAGGCCATCAGAGAAATGTAAATTAAGACTAATTTCAGATTCCATCTTTGTGGTATTGTATTCCCCCAAATATTGTGCATGCTATTAAACTTATCTGAGGTCAGAGACAGAACAGCCACAATATTAAACATAAAGAATAGGCAGTGGTAGCACATGCCTTTAATCCTAGCATTCCAGAGGCAAAAATCCATGTGTTCAAGGATACAGCCAAGCATGGTGACTCACGCCTTTAATCCCAGAAAGCGAGCCTTTAATCCCAAGGAGTGGTGGTAGAAAGCAGAAAGATATATAAGGTGTGAGGACCAGAAACTAGAAGCATTTGGCTGGTTAAGCATTTGGCTAGTTAAGCTTCAGGCTTTTGAGCAGCAGTTCAGCTGAGAGCCATTGGGATGAGGACACAGAAGCTTCCAATCTGAGGGAACAAGACCAAGCTGAGAAGTTGGCCAGGTGAGGTTAGCTGTGGCTTGTTCTGTCTCTCTGACCATGCAGCATTTCACCCCAATAACTGGCCCTGGGTTTGATTTTATTAATAAGAACTTTTAGACTCATGCTACACATCTATCTTATAGCAGTTAGAATGGCCAAGAAAACAA